TCTCCTCCTGCAGGGGAAACATTCCTTCCTGACCCCCCGAGAGGCAATCGGATATTCCCGGGATCAATAATCGGATATTCCCGGGATCAATAATTGGATATTCGCGGGATCACCTTCCCTATAAATGTTATATCCAGTTATATTCTGAGTATCCAAGAAAGGATCCAGGACTTTCCTCCAGCAATCCACTGAGCTGGACTGTATGTGACCGCACTGCACAATATATCCCCGTGGGCACCAAGTATAAAAGGCTACAAATCCAACCTCTGTGTCTTCCGGCCAAAGCGACAAAAGCCATAGATAAGAAGAAAAGAGTTTTTATTACAGATCACAATGAAGGAACGCCATCATCGATTACACATTACAGAGAATGGAACAGAAGATGGAAGAAGGAAATAAAGGTGCAAAAATTGTAAACAAACGACAGATTGCAAAAGATATCAGGACGACCCCAAACATTTGTCCAATCTATGAATAGTAGAAAGGTCCGGTCCCAGCATGTAGGCCCTTTACAGAACCATCTAGAGGGGGGGGGGGGGGGGGGGGGGACAAAGAGAAGGACAATGTATGAAATCCCTTCTTCAGCTCTGTATATACAAAGGAGCATGGGGGGGCTCTTGTCCATAATGGGGGGTGGTACTGACACCCCCAGATGATCCACATTGGCTCACAATTGATATGATCCAGAAATATTATAGAATAGAATAAAGGTGAATAAAGCCCCTGGACCGGATGGCAGACACCCACGGGGCATTAAAGAATTCAGCTCTGTCATCTCACAGCCATTGTTTCTCATTTTTAGGGACTCTTTAATGACTGGCATAGTACCACGGGATTGCCGTAAGGCCAATGTGGGGCCAATATTTATAAAGGGGTCAAAATCTTTCCCAAGTAATTACAGACCTGTTAGTGTCACTTCTAAAGTTGGGAAGATACTGGAGAGTTTAATAAAAGACCACAGAGAGGAGTTCTTGCTGGAAACAAATACAGTAAGCCACAGACAGCATGGATTCATGAAAGACAGAAGTTGTCACACAAATCTGATTTCTATTTATGAGGAGGAGAGCAAAACCTTGGACAGAGGGGTGGCTGTGGACGTGGTATACTTGGACAGAGGGGTGGTGGTGGACTTGGTATACATGGACAGAGGGGTGGCGGTGGACGTGGTATACTTGGACATAAGATTGGCAGTGGACATGGTATACTTGGACAGAGGGGTGGCGGTGGATGTGGTATACTTGGTCAGAGGGGTTGGTGGTGGACGTGGTATACTTGGTCAGAGGGGTGGCTGTGGCTGTGGACGTGGTATACTTGGACAGAGGGGTGGCGGTGGACGTGGTATACTTGGTCAGAGGGGTGGCTGTGGACGTGGTATACTTGGTCAGAGGGGTGGCTGTGGACGTGGTATACTTGGTCAGGGGGGTGGCGGTGGACGTGGTATACTTGGACAGAGGGGTGGCGGTGGACGTGGTATACTTGGGCAGAGGGGTGGCGGTGGACGTGGTATACTTGGACAGAGGGGTGGCGGTGGACGTGGTATACTTGGACAGAGGGGTGGCTGTGGGACGTGGTATACTTGGACAGAGGGGTGGCTGTGGACGTGGTATACTTGGACAGAGGGGTGGCTGTGGACGTGGTATACTTGGACAGAGGGGTGGCGTGGGACAGAGGGGTGGCGTGGACGTGGTATACTTGGACAGAGGGGTGGCAGTGGACGTGGTATACTTGGACAGAGGGGGCTGGGCTGTGGACGTGGTATACTTGGACAGAGGGGTGGCTGTGGACGTGGTATACTTGGACAGAGGGGTGGCTGTGGACGTGGTATACTTGGACAGAGGGGTGGCGGTGTGGACGTGGTATACTTGGACAGAGGGGTGGGTGGATGTGGTATACTTGGACAGAGGGGTGGCTGTGGTGGGACAGTGGACGTGGTATACTTGGACAGAGGGGTGGCTGTGGACGTGGAATACTTGGACAGTGGACGTGGATACTTGGACAGAGGGGTGGCTGTGGTGGTACGTGGTGGACGTGGTATACTTGGACAGAGGGGTGGCGTGGACGTGGACAGAGGGGGTGGCGGTGGAGGACAGGGGTGGCTGTGGACGTCGTGGAATACTTGGACAGAGGGGTGGCTGTGGACACGTCGTACTTGGACAGAGGGGTGGCTGGCTGTGGACGTCGTACACTTGGACAGAGGGGTGGCTGTGGACGTGGTATACTTGGACATAAGATTGGCAGTGGACGTGGTATACTTGGACAGAGGGGTGGCGGTGGACGTGGTATACTTGGACAGAGGGGTGGACGTGGTATACTTGGACAGAGGGGTGGCGGTGGACGTGGTATACTTGGACAGAGGGGTGGACGTGGAATACTTGGGCAGAGGAGTGGCTGTGGACGTGGTATACTTGGGCAGAGGGGTGGCTGTGGACGTGGTATACTTGGTCAGAGGGGTGGCTGTGGACGTGGTATACTTGGTCAGAGGGGTGGCTGTGGACGTGGTATACTTGGACAGAGGGGTGGCGGTGGATGTGGTATACTTGGTCAGAGGGGTGGCTGTGGACGTGGTATACTTGGTCAGAGGGGTGGCTGTGGACGTGGTATACTTGGTCAGAGGGGTGGCTGTGGACGTGGTATACTTGGACAGAGGGGTGGCGGTGGATGTGGTATACTTGGACAGAGGGGTGGCTGTGGACGTGGTATACTTGGACAGAGGGGTGGCGGTGGACGTGGTATACTTGGACAGAGGGGTGGCTGTGGACGTGGTATACTTGGACAGAGGGGTGGCGGTGGACGTGGTATACTTGGACAGAGGGGTGGCGGTGGACGTGGTATACTTGGACAGAGGGGTGGCGGTGGACGTGGTATACTTGGACAGAGGGGTGGCGGTGGATGTGGTATACTTGGACAGAGGGGTGGCAGTGGACGTGGAATACTTGGACAGAGGGGTGGCGGTGGACGTGGTATACTTGGACAGAGGGGGTGGCGGTGGACGTGGTATACTTGGACAGAGACTATAACTGGATATAACATTTATAGGGAAAGTTGATCCCGGGAATATCTGATTGCCTCTCGGGGGATCAGGAAGGAATGTTTCCCCTGCAGGAGGAGATCGGATCGTACTTTGCTGGTTTGCCTTCCTCTGGGTGTCGGATTATAACTTGTTTTTTTTTTATGGTTGAACTGGATGGAGTTTTGTCTTTTCTCAGCCAGACCAACTATGTAACTATGTAACTAAGTCCTCATTTATCGATCGGTCATACAGTATAGACCCCCAACACGTCTGTCTGTGCGGATTGTCACGTGATTTCTGCATGACATAATAAGGGGGCCATTCTGCAGACTCTGTGCCACTGCCCCGCCCTGTTCATTGGAATACCTGTAGATGTCATCACAATGGGGGCACTCAGCCTGAGATGTCCCCTTACCTCCTACTTATCATCTTACAGAATAGACACGCCCACTGCAAGCCTGTTTTCAGCTTCCAGCTGGCGTATGAACACTCCATATTAGAGAGATTTCACGAAGTGTAAAGCAGCTCAATTGAAAAATGATTTCCTGACTTCACAGGAATCCATAATGGACATGAAACGTTCTCCTGGAGTTAATCATTACGGGACTTGGAGAGTCTAAAGTAGATATAAAATAGATTGTAAACCCTTTGATGTGTTACGGTAGAGGGGGAGGGGAATTACAAGCCCAGTCGGGTGCAGTGGTGGTGGTGGGGGGGAGGGTAAACACATTGCTTCCAGACCAGCCCATGGGGGCCATAGAGCTGAACACAGAGTGGATGTGGGTCAATGTGATCATCATTCAGGTGTACAAAGTGGGTGCGATAGGAGGTTGGGGGGGTTAAACTGCATCAAGACCAGCCCGTGGGGGCCATATAGCTGGACGCAGAGTGGATGTGGGTCGATGTGATCATCATTCAGGTGTACAAAGTGGGTGCAGTAGGAGGGTGGGGGGGTCAAACTGCATCAAGACCAGCCCGTGGGGGCCATATAGCTGGACGCAGAGTGGATGTGGATCCATGTGGTCATCATTCAGGTGTACCAAGTGGGTGCAGTAGGAGGTTGGGGGGGTCAAACTGCTGCATCAAGACCAGCCCGTGGGGGCCGTAGAGCTGGACACAGAGTGGATGTGGGTCGATGTGGTCAACAGTTGGGTGTACAAAGTGGGTGCAGTAGGAGGTGGGGGGTCAAACTGCATCAAGACCAGCCCATGGGGGCTGTAGAGCTGGACACAGAGTGGATGTGGGTCGATGTGGTCATCATTCAGGTGTACAAAGTGGGTGCAGTAGGAGGGTGGGGGGGGGGGTCAAACTGCATCAAGACCAGCCCGTGGGGGCTGTAGAGCTGGACGCAGAGTGGATGTGGGTCGATGTGGTCATCATTCAGGTGTACCAAGTGGGTGCAGTAGGGAGGTGGGGGGTCAAACTGCATCAAGACCAGCCCGTGGCGACCATATATCTGGATGCGGAGTGCATGAGGGTTTATGTGGTCAACATTTGGGTGTACAAAATGGGTGCAGTGGGAGGCTGGGGGGGTCAAACTGCATCAAGTCCAGCCTGTGGGGGCCATATATCTGGACGCAGAGTGGATGTGGGTCCATGTGGTCATCATTCAGGTGTTCAAAGTGGGTGCGATAGGAGGTTGGGGGGGGTTAAACTGCATCAAGACCAGCCCGTGGGGGCCATATATCTGGACGCAGAGTGGATGTGGGTCCATGTGGTCATCATTCAGGTGTTCAAAGTGGGTGCAATAGGAGGTTGGGGGGGGTTAAACTGCATCAAGACCAGCCCGTGGGGGCCATATATCTGGACGCAGAGTGGATGTGGGTCGATGTGGTCAACATTTGGGTGTACAAAGTGGGTGCAGTGGGAGGGATAGGGGGTTTAGCCGTGCATCCAGACACGCCAGTGGGGGCCATACACTGGATGCAGAGTAGATGAGGGTCAATGTGCTCAGCATTCGGGTATAGAAATGGTTTTCAATCTGTTTCAGGAATTATTCCCGGGAACGGTGCCGTCGATGTAGAGGTCACTTTCACCCCATCCAGCTATGGGACGGCTCAGATCAGCCTGGAATTATCGATTTCCGAGTTTAATGCCAAACCGTACATCTGTGTCTTCACCGGGACCTGCTCCCCGAATCTCTCTGCCGTGTGCGTATATCCCCGGTGGAGCCAATGTTACACCATTTTTGTGACCTCGGTTGGGTTCCTCTAATGGTGGCTCTATTGTCTCTAAAGGAAAGAAGAGTCTGAAAAGGTCAAAGTTTCCTCCATGGCGAGCCTGAAGGGCCCCGAGAAAGCGGCATTGAGAATTTCCCGCAAGAAGAGACATTTGCAGTCTCTGCAGCAGAACGCGTCACGGGTACGTCTCCATGAATGGTGGTCGGTGTCGGGATTGTACATTCAGAGGTGTCTATAAGTCGTGTATATAATCACATCGGGTTCTAATTGATTATTATTCTGTATATTTTATACACCAATCTCAGGTCATCGAGTTCCACGATCTGCGATTCCCACTCAATCTCTCCAATCCTCATGCCGTGGCCACCGTCCTGAACCAGCAGCCGGGGAAAGTCCGACTGAAGGACATGCGTGAAGGTGAGGGAACACGATATGAGGAAGAGGACATTTTAATGTATCATTCATGGTCACATCTCTCTGTATTCCTCTCCTCCAGGCCTCACCTGTGCTGGAAAGAAAACACGCCAGGAGAAGGAGACTTTGTTCCAGCAAGTTGTGCAGCAGAATGTGGCTGAGGAAGAGGCCAATCAGCTGCGATGGTGAATATTGTGCTCCTCTCATTACCTGTATTGGAGGATATGGAGGTGATATCAGACCTGCAGCTTTCCTGCCTTCAGGACTGGGCCAATGTGGTCCAATATAGTCCACCATTCCTAGTGCATCCCCATCACTAATATTCATACATTGACTTAATGCTGTCAGAAGACTTGTTGGGAAGGTGGGAGCACTGGTCAGTAGACATGTTGGGAGGGTGGATGGACTGGGAATGGTTGGGAGGGAGGATGGACTGGTCAGTAGACATGTTGGGAGGGTGGATGGACTGGTCAGTAGACATGTTGGGAGGGTGGGATGGACTGGTCAGTAGACATGTTGGGAGGGTGGATGGACTGGTCAGTAGACATGTTGGGGAGGGTGGATGGACTAGTCAGAAGACATATTGAGAGGGTGGATGGATTGGTCAGTAGACATGTTGGGAGGGTGTATGGACTGGTCAGTAGACATGTTGGGAGGATGGTTGGACTTTTCAGTAGACATGTTGGGAAGGTGGGCGCACTGGTCGGTAGACATGTTGGGAGGGTGGGTGAATGGACTGGTCAGTAGACATGTTGGGAGGGTGGATGGACTGGTCAGTAGACATGTTGGGAGGGTGGATGGACTGGGAATGGTTGGGAGGGTGGATGGACTGGTCAGTATACATATTGGGAGGGTGGATGGACTGGTCAGTAGACATGTTGGGAGGGTGGATGGACTGGGAATGGTTGGGAGGGTGGATGCACTGGTCAGTATACATATTGGGAGGGTGGATGGACTGGTCAGAAGACATTGAGAGGGTGGATGGACTGGTCAGTAGACATGTTGGGAGGGTGGGCGCACTGGTCAGTAGACATGTTGGGAGGGTGGGTGAATGGACTGGTCAGTAGACATGTTGGGAGGGTGGATGGACTGGTCAGTAGACATATTGAGAGGGTGGATGGACTGGTCAGTAGACATGTTGGGAGGGTGGATGGACTGGTCAGAAGACATGTTGGGAGGGTGGATGGACTGGTCAGAAGACATGTTGGGAGGGTGGATGGACTGGTCAGAAGACATGTTGGGAGGGTGGATGGACTGGTCAGAAGACATGTTGGGAGGGTGGATGGACTGGTCAATAGATATGTTTGGAGGGTGGATGAACTGGTCAGTAGACATGTTGGGAGGGTGGATGGACTGGTCAGTAGACATGTTGGGAGGGTGGATGGACTGGTCAGTAGACATGTTGGGAGGGTGGATGAACTGGTCAGTAGACATGTTGGGAGGGTGGATGGACTGGTCAGTAGACATGTTGGGAGGGTGAATGGACTGGTCAGTAGACAAATTGGGAGGGTGGATGGACTGGGAATGGTTGGGAGGGTGGATGGACTGGTCAGTATACATATTGGGAGGGTGGATGGACTGGTCAGTAGACATGTTGGGAGGGTGTATGGACTGGTCAGTAGACATGTTGGGAGGATGGATGGACTTTTCAGTAGACATGTTGGGAAGGGGGGCGCACTGGTCAGTAGACATGTTGGGAGGGTGGGTGAATGGACTGGTCAGTAGACATGTTGGGAGGGTGGATGGACTGGTCAGTAGACATGTTGGGAGGGTGAATGGACTGGTCAGTAGACATGTTGGGAGGGTGGATGGACTGGTCAGTAGATATGTTCTGAGGGTGGATGGACTGGTCAGTAGACATGTTGGGAGGTGGATGGATGGACTGGTCAGTATACATATTGGGAGGGTGGATGGACTGGTCAGTAGACATATTGGGAGGGTGGATGGACTGGTCAGTAGACATATTGGGAGGGAGGATGGACTGGTCAGTAGACATGTTGGGAGGGTGGATGGACTGGTCAGTATACATATTGGGAGGGTGGGATGGACTGGTCAGTATACATATTGGGAGGGAGGATGGACTGGTCAGTAGATATGTTGGGAGGGTGGATGGACTGGTCAGTAGACATATTGGGAGGGTGGATGGACTGGGAATGGTTGGGAGGGTGGATGGACTGGTCAGTATACATATTGGGAGGGAGGATGGACTGGTCAGTAGACATGTTGGGAGGGTGGATGAACTGGTCAGTAGACATGTTGGGAGGGTGGATGAACTGGTCAGTAGACATGTTGGGAGGGTGGATGGACTGGTCAGTATACATATTGGGAGGGTGGATGGACTGGTCAGTAAACATGTTGGGAGGATGGATGGACGGGTTAGTAGACATGTTGGGAGGGTGGATGGACTGGTCAGTAGATATGTTGGGAGGGTGGATGAACTGGTCAGTAGACATGTTGGGAGGGTGGATGAACTGGTCAGTAGACATGTTGGGAGGGTGGATGGACTGGTCAGTAGACATGTTGGGAGGGTGGATGGACTGGTCAGAAGACATGTTGGGAGGGTGGATGAACTGGTCAGTAGACATGTTGGGAGGGTGGATGGACTGGTCAGTAGACATGTTGGGAGGGTGGATGGACTGGTCAGTAGACATGTTGGGAGGGTGGATGGACTGGTCAGTAGACATGTTGGGAGGGTGGATGGACTGGTCAGTATACATATTGGGAGGGTGGATGGACTGGTCAGTAGACATGTTGGGAGGGTGTATGGACTGGTCAGTAGACATGTTGGGAGGGTGGATGGACTTTTCAGTAGACATGTTGGGAAGGTGGGCGCACTGGTCAGTAGACATGTTGGGAGGGTGGGTGAATGGACTGGTCAGTAGACATGTTGGGAGGGTGGATGGACTGGTCAGTAGACATGTTGGGAGGGTGAATGGACTGGTCAGTAGACATGTTGGGAGGGTGGATGGACTGGTCAGTAGATATGTTCTGAGGGTGGATGGACTGGTCAGTAGACATATTGGGAGGGTGGATGGACTGGTCAGTATACATATTGGGAGGGAGGATGGACTGGTCAGTAGATATGTTGGGAGGGTGGATGGACTGGTCAGTAGACATGTTGGGAGGATGAATGGACTGGTCAGTAGACATATTGGGAGGGTGGATGGACTGGGAATGGTTGGGAGGGTGGATGGACTGGTCAGTTTACATATTGGGAGGGAGGATGGACTGGTCAGTAGACATGTTGGGAGGGTGGGTGGACTGGTCAGTAGATATGTTCTGAGGGTGGATGGACTGGTCAGTAGACATGTTGGGAGGGTGGATGGACTGGTCAGTATACATATTGGGAGGGTGGATGGACTGGTCAGTAAACATGTTGGGAGGATGGATGGACGGGTTAGTAGACATGTTGGGAGGATGGATGGACTGGTCAGTAGATATGTTGGGAGGGTGGATGAACTGGTCAGTAGACATGTTGGGAGGGTGGATGAACTGGTCAGTAGACATGTTGGGAGGGTGGATGGACTGGTCAGTAGACATGTTGGGAGGGTGGATGGACTGGTCAGTAGACATGTTGGGAGGGTGGGAGCACCGGTCAGTAGACATGTTGGGAGGCCGGGAGCACCGGTCAGTAGACATGTTGGGAGGCCGGGAGCACCGGTCAGTAGACATGTTGGGAGGCCGGGAGCACCGGTCAGTAGACATGTTGGGAGGGTGGGAGCACCGGTCAGTAGACATGTTGGGAGGGTGGGAGCACCGGTCAGTAGACATGTTGGGAGGGTGGGAGCACCGGTCAGTAGACCGGCACTGTATGATCTGTAGCTCCTCCTCCTGTAGGATCAGAGCAGAGTAATGAACATTTCTGGTGGCGGGTGAGCCGGCTCTATGATGATTATTTGCCGTCTCTCACTTCCCCGATTAGATGGAGATCATAAACAAACACTTCCACCCCGCCCCCTCTCCCCGCCCCCTCTCCCCCGCCCCCTCTCCCCGCCCCCTCTCCGTTTTCATCTCACTAAGCTTTATTTGGCGCACAGAAGATTCCGGAGAATTTCTCAATGTTTGGTTTATAAAATGTCACTTCTAGAGCGACTTACTGTGTGACAAATGGGTTGTGTGGCCGGCTGCCATGGAAGTGTGTCACATTCGATATACGGCGGGAAATTCTCAGCAAACCGCAGACAGTAATCATTCTGGTACTCCCCTTCACAGGCAGATCCATCGTGGCAGTGACCCCGCTTCTCCCAGACAGCGCCAGCGGATACGAGACGAACGCCTGAGTGCAGAGGACGAATATCAGGTCAGAGATGTCTCACCAATCAGATCTGTTCAATCCTCCTTCCGCCCTCCCCTCTAGTCTTGCACAGGTGTAGCAGCTCCACCCCTTCAGTCTTGCGCAGGTGTATTGGCTCCTCCCCTTCAGTCTTGCACAGGTGTACCGGATCCACCTCTTCAGTCTTGCACAGGTGTACAGGCTCCTCCTCTTCAGTCTTGCACAGGTGTACAGGCTCCTCCTCTTCAGTCTTGCACAGGTGTACAGGCTCCTCCCCTTCAGTCTTGCACAGGTGTCCCGGCTCCTCCCCTTCAGTCTTGCCCAAGTGTACCGGCTCCTCCCCTTCAGTCTTGCCCAGGTGTAGCAGCTCCTCCCCTTCAGTCTTGCACAGGTGTAGCAGCTCCTCCCCTTCAGTCTTGCACAGGTGTACAGGCTCCTCCCCTTCAGTCTTGCACAGGTGTAGCAGCTCCTCCCCTTCAGTCTTGCCCAGGTGTACCGGCTCCTCCCCTTCAGTCTTGCACAGGTGTCCCGGTTCCTCCCCTTCAGTCTTGCACAGGTGTACTGGCTCCTCCCCTTCAGTCTTGCCCAGGTTTAGCAGCTCCTCCCCTTCAGTCTTGCACAGGTGTACCGGCTCCACCCCTTCAGTCTTGCACAGGTGTATTGGCTCCTCCCCTTCAGTCTTGCACAGGTGTACCAGCTCCACCCCTTCAGTCTTGCACAGGTGTACCAGCTCCGCCCCTTCAGTCTTGCACAGGTGTACCAGCTCCACCCCTTCAGTCTTGCACAGGTGTACAGGCTCCTCCTCTTCAGTCTTGCACAGGTGTACAGGCTCCTCCTCTTCAGTCTTGCACAGGTGTACAGGCTCCTCCTCTTCAGTCTTGCACAGGTGTACAGGCTCCTCCTCTTCAGTCTTGCACAGGTGTATAGGCTCCTCCCCTTCAGTCTTGCACAGGTGTCCCGGCTCCTCCCCTTCAGTCTTGCCCAAGTGTACCGGCTCCTCCCCTTCAGTCTTGCCCAAGTGTACCGGCTCCTCCCCTTAAGTCTTGCCCAGGTGTAGCAGCTCCTCCCCTTCAGTCTTGCCCAGGTGTAGCAGCTCCTCCCCTTTAGTCTTGCCCAGGTGTACAGGCTCCTCCTCTTCAGTCTTGCACAGGTGTAGCAGCTCCTCCCCTTCAGTCTTGCCCAGGTGTACCGGCTTCTCCCCTTCAGTCTTGCACAGGTGTACCAGCTCCTCCCCTTCAGTCTTGCACAGGTGTACTGGCTCCTCCCCTTCAGTCTTGCCCAGGTTTAGCAGCTCCTCCCCTTCAGTCTTGCCCAGGTTTAGCAGCTCCTCCCCTTCAGTCTTGCACAGGTGTACCGGCTCCTCCCCTGGACTGGAATGGCTTCCTCTGATGTCACTGCACACTGGGAGCGTCTCACAATGTGCATTAGAAGCTGCAGCAAGTCAGATAGAGCTCCGCTCCATTTCCTGTCTGGAGGACGTCCAGTATCATCTAGAGCTTTCCTCCCCAGCCTGACTGTCCCTGGCCACGCCCCTTTCATTCATATCATGATACCATATGGCGGTATTTCTGTGACGCAGGTGATGAGCGGCAATCCCGACCTCCAGAGAGAATGCAGGCGTCCGTGTGTGAGTGCCGTGTCCAAGCGGGTGTTGCGCAGATCAGACCAGGTGAGTTGGAGGTCAGGTATAGTGACCTCCTTCTACATATATGACATAGGAAGACCTCCACAACACATGTATGTCCTCCATCTACATACATGACATAGGAAGACCTCCATAACACATTGTATGTCCTCCATCTACATACGTGACGTATGAAGACCTCCATAACACATTGTATGTCCTCCATTTACATACATGATATAGGAAAGACCTTCATAACACATTGTATGTCTTCCATCCACATACATGATGTATGAAGACCTCCACAACACATGTATGTCCTCCATCTGCATACATGACATAGGAAGACCTCCACAACACATGTATGTCCTCCATCTACATACATGACATAGGAAGACCTCCATAACACATTGTATGTCCTCCATCTACATACGTGACGTATGAAGACCTCCATAACACATTGTATGTACTCCATCTACATACGTCACATAGGAAGACCTCTGTAACACATTGTATGTCTTCCATCCACATACATGACATATGAAGACCTCCGTAACACATTGTATGTCTTCCATCCACATACATGACATATGAAGACCTCCGTAACACATTGTATGTCTTCCATCCACATACATGACATATGAAGACCTCCGTAACACATTGTATGTCTTCCATCCACATACATGACATATGAAGACCTCCGTAACACATTGTATGTCCTCTGCAGCTTCTCACCGTTCAGCCTCAGTTTGACCTCTATCTGAATGAGCTCTGGGCCAATAGGAACCGAGCATTGCGACGTTTCCAGCAGGCCGCCCGCAAGGTGAGACCCTAATCCGGTGCTGAGATTGGTAATCTGGGGCCCAGGGATGGGAGTCTGACATCATCTGTACCTCCCACCGAGAGGGAAAAGGTATGTAGGTAAGGGACACGCCCCCAGCTATATATAGAACAAGGACACGCCCCCAGTTATATATAGGTAACGGACACGCCCCAAGTTATCTATAGAAAAAGGACACGCCCACAGTTATATATAAAACAAGGACACGCCCCCAGTTATATATAGAACAAGGACACGCCCCCAGTTATAGGTAAAAGGACACACCCACAGTTTATAGGTAAATGACATGCCCCTAGTTATAGATAAGAAAAGGACACACCCTCAGATATATATAGAAAAAGGACACGCCCACACCAGTTATATATAGGTAAATAGCACGCCCCCAGTTATATATAGGTCAAGAACACGCCCTCAGTTATATATAGGTAATGGACACGCCCCAAGTTATCTATAGAAAAAGGACATGCCCCCAGTTATAGATAGGTAAATAGCACGCCCCCAATTATAGATAGGAAAAGGACACACCCTCAGATATATATAGAAAAAAGGACACGCCCACCAGTTATATATAGAACAAGGACACGCCCCCAGTTATAGGTAAATGACATGCCCCTAGTTATAGATAGGAAAAGGACACACCCTCAGATATATAGAAAAAGGACACGCCCACCAGTTATATATAGGTAAAATACGCGCCCCCAGTTATATATATGTAAAGGACACGCCCCCATTCATATATAGAAAAAGGACACACCCCTCAGGTATATATAGGTAAATAGCACGCCCCCAGTTATATATAGGTAAAGGACACGCCCCAAGTTATGTATAGAAAATGGACACGCCCCAGTTATATATAGAACAAGGACACGCCCCCAGTTATAGGTAAATGGCACGCCCCTAGTTATAGATAAGAAAAGGACACACCCCCAGTTATATATATAGGTAACTAGCACGCCCCCAGTTATATATAGGTCAAGAACACGCCCTCAGTTATATATAGGTAACGGACACGCCCCAAGTTATCTATAGAAAAAGGACACGCCCCCAGTTATATATAGCACAAGGACACCCCCCCCCCAGTTATATGTAGAGCAAGGACACGCCCCCCTGTTATATATAGAACAAGGACATGTCCACAGTTATATATAGAACAAGGACACGCCCCCCAGTTATATATAGGTCAAGAACACGCCCCCAGTTATATATAGGTAAGGGACACGCCCCAAGTTATGTATAGAAAAAGGACACGCCCCAGTTATATATAGAACAAGGACACGCCCCCAGTTATAGGTAAATGAGATGCCCCTAGTTATAGATAAGAAAAGGACACACCCACCAGTTATATATAGGTAACTAGCACGCCCCCAGTTATATATAGGTCAAGAACACGCCCTCAGTTATATATAGGTAACGGACACGCCCCAAGTTATCTATAGAAAAAGGGACACGCCCCCAGTTATAGATAGGTAAATAGCACGCCCCCAGTTATAGATAGGAAAAGGACACACCCTCAGATATATATAGAAAAAGGACACGCCCACAAGTTATATATAGCACAGGGACCCCCCCAGTTATATGTAGAGCAAGGACACGCCCCCCAGTTATATAGAGAACAAGGACATGTCCACAGTTATACATAGAACAAGGACACGCCCCCAATTATATATAGGTCAAGAACACGCCCCCAGTTATATATAGGTAAGGGACACGCCCTAAGTTATATATAGAAAAGGACACGCCCCTAGTTATAGATAGAGGACACCCCCCCGGTTATATATAGGCAAAGGGCATGCCCCCCCCAGTTATATATAGAAAAAGATACACCCTTAGTTATAGATAAAAGACACCCCCCCCCCCCAGGACTGAGGGCTGAGAGGAGTACAGAGACGGGGGGCTGGGATGTTTTCAGGAAGCTAATGTATGTACAGCACTCTGCCGGCCCCTCCCACCAGCCATGATCTGCTTGCATTACATAGAGAAGCACAGAGATGACATCACTGCATATAAATAAGTAATGCAATAAAAATTGAAAGGTTTTATTTACAAATGTCATTATCACGGTGATGGGGGGGGGGCAGGGGGGGGGGCAGACCAGGGAAGGCAACATATGAGCAGATTAAACTCCGTATTTAATAGAGAGCCACTCATCAGAGGTAATGGAGGGATTTGGTTCCAGAGAAGGACAGCCGGGACCTCTGTGTGGTGTCTCCGTATTGCAGCGTCTGCTTGGGTGTTGTCACATCTTATATACAAGTTCGGGTTTATGACTCTGTGTGCAGTATGCCCATGTTCCATGCTCCGTCCTCCGTGTTCCATGTTCTATGTTCCATGCTCCGTCCTCCGTGTTCCATGTTCTATGTTCCATGCTCCGTCCTTCATGTTCCATGCTCCGTCCTCCGTGTTCCATGTTCTATGTTCCATGCTCCGTCCTTCATGTTCCATGCTCCGTCCTTCATGTTCCATGCTTCGTCTTCATGTTCCATGCTCCGTCCTTCATGTTCCATGCTTCATCTTCATGTTCCATGCTCCATCCTTCATGTTCCATGCTTCATCCTCCGTGTTCCATGTTCTATGTTCTGTGTTCCATGTTCCATGCTCCATGTTCCATGCTCTGTCCTCCATGTTCCATGCTCCGTCCCTCATGTTCTGTGTTCTATGTTCTGTGTTCCATGCTCCATGTTCCATGCTCCATCCTTCATGTTCTGTGTTCCATGCTCCATGCTCCGTCCTTCATGTTCTGTGTTCTATGTTCTGTGTTCCATGCTCCATGTTCCATGCTCTGTCCTCCATGTTCCATGCTCTGTCCTTCATGTTCTGTGTTCTATGTTCTGTGTTCCATGCTCCATGTTCCATGCTCCATCCTTCATGTTCTGTGTTCCATGTTCCATGCTCCGTCCTTCATGTTCTGTGTTCCATGCTCCATGCTCCGTCCTTCATGTTCTGTGTTCTATGTTCTGTGTTCCATGCTCCATGTTCCATGCTCTGTTCTCCATGTTCTATGTTCCATGCTCTGTCCTCCATGTTCTATGTTCCATGCTCTGTCCTCCATGTTCTATGGTTTGTTTTCTATGTTCCATGCTCCATCCTCCACGTTCTGTGTTCTATGCTTTGTCTTCTGTTTCATGCTCTATCCTCCCTGTTCCTTGTTCTACATTCTATGGTTTGTCTTCTATGTTCCGTGTTCCATGCTCCATCCTCCATGTTCCATGTTCTACATTCTATGGTTTGTCTTCTATGTTCCATTATCCATCCTCCATGTTCTACATTCTATGGTCTGTCTTTATGTTCCGTGTTCCATGCTCCATGTTCCATGCTCCATCCTCCATGTTCCATGTTCTACATTCTATGGTTTGTCTTCTATGTTCCGTGTTCCATCCTCCATGTTCCATGTTCTACATTCTATGGTTTGTCTTCTATGTTTACGTGTTCCATGCTTCATCCTCCATGTTCCACCCTCCATGTTCTATGCTCCGTGTTCCATGTTTCAGGTTCTGGTGCGCTGCAGAGTAAATCGCAGGTTGGGCCGTCTAAGGAAATTGCTGCAACGCCTTCGGGCGGAGCCGGAGGGGGATGGGCCAATCGGTAAGACGTCATTAGTCATGTGACATGTTTACAATGATTTGTGCTGATTGGTCAGCAGTGACCCTTTTATATCACACAGATAGCAGTGATGAGGAATCGATCCCCTCCCCCACCAATCAGATCCTCTTCTATGACTTCCCCCCATATCCTGCTGAACCCCGGGATCGGTGAGTACAGAACAACTGGTCACATGCGGCTACCCTGGGGTCTGTATTCTGCACGTGGGCAATGAATAATGACTCTGATTGGGTGGGGAGTAATGACTCTGATTGGGTGGGGAGTAATGACTCTGATTGGGTGGGGAGTAATGACTTTGATTGGGTGGGGAGTAATGACTCTGATTGGATGGGGAGTAACGACTCCGACTGGATGGGGAGTAACATCTCTGATTGGGTGGGGAGTAACGACTCCGATTGGATGGGGAGTAACGACTCCGATTGGATGGGGAGTAACGACTCTGATTGGGAGGGGAGTAACATCTCTGATTGGGTGGGGAGTAACGACTCCGATTGGATGGGGAGTAACGACTCTGATTGGGTGGGGAGTAACGACTCTGATTGGATGGGGAGTAATGACTCTAATTGGGAGGGGAGTAACATCTCTGATTGGGTGGGGAGTAACATCTCTGATTGGGTGGGGAGTAACGACTCCGATTGGATGGGGAGTAATGACTCTGATTGGGTGGGGAGTAATGACTCTGAGTGGTCGGGAGTAATGACTCTGATTGGGTGGGGAGTAACATCTCTGATTGGGTGGGGAGTAACGACTCCGATTGGATGGGGAGTAACGACTCAGATTGGATGGGGAGTAACGACTTCGATTGGATGGGGAGTAACGACTCCGATTGGATGGGGAGTAACGACTCCGATTTGATGGGGAGTAACGACTCTGATTGGGAGGGGAGTAATGACTCTGATTGGATGGGGAGTAATGACTCTGATTGGGTGGGGAGTAACGTCTCTGATTGGGTGGGGAGTAACGTCTCCGATTGGGTGGGGAGTAACGACTCCGATTGGATGGGGAGTAATGACTCTGATTGGGTGGGGAGTAATGTCTCTGATTGGGAGGGGAGTAACGACTCCGATTGGATGGGGAGTAAACGACTCCGATTGGATGGGGAGTAACGACTCCGATTGGATGGGGAGTAACGACTCCGATTGGATGGGGAGTAACGACTCTGATTGGATGGGGAGTAATGACTCTGATTGGGTGGGGAGTAAACGACTCTGATTGGGTGGGGAGTAACGACTCTGATTGGGTGGGGAGTAACGACTCTGATTGGGTGGGGAGTAAACGACTCTGATTGGGTGGGGAGTAAATGTCTCTGATTGGGAGTAATGACTCTGGTTGGGTGGGGAGTAGCGACTCTGATTGGGTGGGAGTAACGACTCTGATTGGGTGGGGAGTAGCGACTCTGATTGGGTGGGGAGTAGCGACACTGATTGGGTGGGGAGTAGCGACTCTGATTGGGTGGGGAGTAACCTCTCTGATTGGGTGGGGAGTAATCTCTCTGATTGGGTGGGGAGTAACGGCTCCGATTGGGTGGGGGGTAATGTTTCTGATTGGGTGTTGAGTAACGGTTTTGATTGGGTGGGGAGTAACGACTCTGATTGGGTGGGGAGTAACGACTCTGGGTGTTGAGTAACGACTCTGATTGGGTGTTGAGTAACGTTTCTGATTGGATGGGGAGTAACGACTCCGATTGGATGGGGAGTAACGACTCCGATTGGATGGGGAGTAACGACTCCGATTGGATGGGGAGTAACGACTCCGATTGGATGGGGAGTAACGACTCCGATTGGATGGGGAGTAACGACTCCGATTGGGTGGGGAGTAACAACTCTGATTGGCTGGGGAGTAACGACTCTGATTGGATGGGGAGTAACGACTCTGATTGGGTGGGGAGTAACGACTCTGATTGGGTGGGGAGTAACGACTCTGATTGGGTGGGGAGTAACGACTCTGATTGGGTGGGGAGTAATGTCTCTGATTGGGAGTAATGACTCTGATTGGGTGGGGAGTAGCGACTCTGATTGGGTGGGGAGTAACGACTCTGATTGGGTGGGGAGTAGCGACTCTGATTGGGTGGGGAGTAGCGACTCTGATTGGGTGGGGAGTAGCGACTCTGATTGGGTGGGGAGTAGCGACTCTGATTGGGTGGGGAGTAACCTCTCTGATTGGGTGGGGAGTAATCTCTCTGATTGGGTGAGGAGTAACGGTTTTGATTGGGTGGGGGGTAATGTTTCTGATTGGGTGTTGAGTAACGGTTTTGATTGGATGGGGAGTAACGACTCTGGGTGTTGAGTAACGACTCTGATTGGGTGTTGAGTAACGACTCTGATTGGATGGGGAGTAACGACTCTGATTGGGTGGGGAGTAACGTCTCTGATTGGATGGGGAGTAACGTCTCTGATTGGATGGGGAGTAACGTCTCTGGGTGGGTGGGGGGGGGGTAAGGCTCTGATTGGATGGCCGGTATTTCAATGGCTTGCAGGACCCGGGGAGCCCAGAAATGTTTCGTCCTGCATGATGACTGACTAGCCGCTTGCCTTCCGGGGGAAATGTTCACATTTTTGGCACATTTGTTAAATCTGCATGATTTTTGCTAGAAATGATTGTAATCTCTCAGAAATGTGTATTTCCTGTAAGTGGAGACCCCGGAGGAGGCCACGGGGGTAGTTGTGATGTTTTCTGTCACATATTTTCAGGGAGACACACTAGGCTGAGTTTCAGCGCACACAACACGATATTATTCCCGATTTTGAATCAAATATAACAGATTGGATTGTGCTGAGCAAATCGATACCAAACATGTCAAATCGTCACATTTCAGGGCCCATTAAAGTGATCAGGCAGCTCTAGAGCCACCCAATCACCTTCATTGGAAAGGTCCTCGCCGGCTCCTAGGGGGCGGTCCAAGGTGGCAGCAGCTGTGAGCTTGATAACCCCTTGCCTGCCGGGTATATAAACATCCCATGGTAGACGAGGGGGAGGGGTCATCAGGGGGCGGAGCTCTGCTAATGGTCTCTCTTCTTCTGCTGCACTCAGCCTCCTGGAGGTCTCTGCGGAGTCACCCCACAACCAGCCTCTGTCCAGCTGAAAGTCCAACTCCCCTTCTACCACCTAAAGGTAAGTCGTCCCATACACATCGATCATATACACGGCACTGCACACGCCTGTCATATACACGGCACTGCACACGCCCGTCATATACACGGCACTGCACACATCGATCATATACACGGCACTGCACACGCCTGTCATATACACGGCACTGCACACATCGATCATATACACGGCACTGCACACGCCTGTCATATACACGGCACTGCACACATCGATCATATACACGGCACTGCACACATCGATCATATACACGGCACTGCACACATCGATCATATACACGGCACTGCACACGCCCATCATATACACGGCACTGCACACATCGATCATATACACGGCACTGCACACATCGATCATATACACGGCACTGCACACATCGATCATATACACGGCACTGCACACATCGATCATATACACGGCACTGCACACATCGATCATATACACGGCACTGCACACATCGATCATATACACGGCACTGCACACATCGATCATATACACGGCACTGCACACATCGATCATATACACGGCACTGCACACATCGATCATATACACGGCACTGCACACATCGATCATATACACGGCACTGCACACATCGATCATATACACGGCACTGCACACATCGATCATATACACGGCACTGCACACGCCCGTCATATACACGGCACTGCACACGCCCATCATATACACGGCACTGCACACGTTCATCATATACACGGCACTGCACACGCCTATCATATACACGGCACTGCACACGCCCGTCATATACACGGCACTGCACACGCCTATCATATACACGGCACTGCACACGCCCGTCATATACACGGCACTGCACACGCCCGTCATATACACGGCACTGCACACGTTCATCATATACACGGCACTGCACACGCCCGTCATATACACGGCACTGCACACGCCCATCATATACACGGCACTGCACACATCGATCATATACACGGCACTGCACACGCCTGTCATATACACGGCACTGCACACGCCCGTCATATACACGGCACTGCACACATCAATCATATACATGGCACTGCACACATCGATCATATACACGGCACTGCACACATCGATCATATACACGGCACTGCACACGCCCGTCATATACACGGCACTGCACACATCGATCATATACACGGCACTGCACACATCGATCATATACACGGCACTGCACACATCGATCATATACACGGCACTGCACACGCCCGTCATATACACGGCACTGCACACGCCCATCATATACACGGCACTGCACACGCCCATCATATACACGGCACTGCACACGCCCGTCATATACACGGCACTGCACACATCGATCATATACACGGCACTGTACACATCGATCATATACACGGCACTGCACACGCCCGTCATATACACGGCACTGTACACATCGATCATATACACGGCACTGCACACACCCGTCATATACACGGCACTGTACACATCGATCATATACACGGCACTGCACACACCCGTCATATACACGGCACTGCACACGCCCGTCATATACACAGCACTGCACACGCCCGTCATATACACGGCACTGCACACGCCCATCATATACACGGCACTGCACACATCGATCATATACACGGCACTGTACACGCCCGTCATATACACGGCACTGCACACGCCCGTCATATACACGGCACTGCACACGCCCATCATATACACGGCACTGTACACGCCCGTCATATACACGGCACTGCACACGCCCATCATATACACGGCACTGCACACGCCCGTCATATACACGGCACTGCACACGCCCGTCATATACACGGCACTGCACACGCCCGTCATATACACGGCACTGCACACGCCCATCATATACACGGCACTGCACACGCCCGTCATATACACGGCACTGCACACGCCCGTCATATACACGGCACTGCACACGCCCATCATATACACGGCACTGTACACGCCCGTCATATACACGGCACTGCACACGCCCGTCATATACACGGCACTGCACACGCCCGTCATATACACGGCACTGCACACGCCCGTCATATACACGGCACTGCACACGCCCGTCATATACACGGCACTGCACACGCCCATCATATACACGGCACTGCACACGCTCTGTCTTCTGATCACTGTTATCGATCGCTCTCTCTTCTGATCGCTGTTATCGATCGCTCTGTCTTCTGATCACTGTTATCGATCGCTCTGTCTTCTGATCGCTGTTATCGATCGCTCTGTCTTCTGATCGCTGTTATCGATCGCTCTGTCTTCTGATCGCTGTTATCGATCCCTCTGTCTTCTGATCGCTGTTATCGATCGCTCTGTCTTCTGATCGCTGTTATCGATCGCTCTGTCTTCTGATCGCTGTTATCGATCGCTCTGTCTTCTGATCGCTGTTATCGATCGCTCTGTCTTCTGATCGCTGTTATCGATCGCTCTGTCTTCTGATCACTGTTATCGATCGCTCTCTCTTCTGATCACTGTTATCGATCGCTCTCTCTTTTGATCACTGTTATCGATCGCTCTCTCTTCTGATCACTGTTATCGATCGCTCTGTCTTCTGATCGCTGTTATCGATCGCTCTGTCTTCTGATCGCTGTTATCGATCGCTCTGTCTTCTGATCGCTGTTATCGATCGCTCTGTCTTCTGATCGCTGTTATCGATCGCTCTGTCTTCTGATCACTGTTATCGATCGCTCTCTCTTCTGATCACTGTTATCGATCGCTCTCTCTTTTGATCACTGTTATCGATCGCTCTGTCTTCTGATCACTGTTATCGATCGCTCTGTCTTCTGATCACTGTTATCGATCGCTCTGTCTTCTGATCGCTGTTATCGATCGCTCTGTCTTCTGATCGCTGTTATCGATCGCTCTGTCTTCTGATCACTGTTATCGATCGCTCTGTCTTCTGATCGCTGTTATCGATCGCTCTGTCTTCTGATCGCTGTTATCGATCGCTCTGTCTTCTGATCGCTGTTATCGATCGCTCTGTCTTCTGATCGCTGTTATCGATCGCTCTGTCTTCTGATCGCTGTTATCGATCGCTCTGTCTTCTGATCACTGTTATCGATCCTTCTCTCTTCTGATCACTGTTATCGATCGCTCTGTCTTTTGATCAATCTTATCGATCTCTCTGTCTTCTGATCACTATCATCGATCTCTCTGTCTTCTGATCACTATTATCGATCGCTCTGTCTTCTGATCACTATTATCGATCGCTCTGTCTTCTTCTCAGGTTCCTCAGCATTATAAACTGATGGGATATCAGCCGGTCAGTACACTCTCGGCCTCCACCTACCACTCCCTTCGGCTGCCACGACCACTGAGGAGCGGTGCAGAGGTAATAATTGCCCTCCCAGCACAATGTATCACTTTCCGGGGCCTCAGTCTATGGAGGGGCCACACCAACCTTCCCCCAATGTCTGCCTTTTCTCTGCCGGCAGGATGAGCTTGTGCCGATCTCCAATCCCGATATCCCGAGAGCAGCGCTGAGTCAGAGGATGAATATGAGAGAAGAGGAATGCTCCATGGCCACCTACCTCACACTGAGCCCTCCGGAGCAACTGCTGAACCCCCCCGACTTCCACCCAATGCACGTCTTTGTGAGTGGTCAGATCTACCATCGTTATTATTATTATATTCAAGTCCCAATCCATAGTCTATAGAGATAACGTGTCGTGCTGCAAAAACATCCAAACATGAAATCAACATGAAGTCCAACAACACTCCCCAGCAGAAAAATGGTTCTCTCCATCCTGATTGGCTGAAATCTTTTCCTTCGTTTTCTTGTTGTTGGACATTTACGTTGTTTCCTCACATGTGTGTTGTTGTTGGACTTCATGTTGTTTTTATGTTTGGATGTTTTTGCAGCAGAGCAGCACGACACATTACATGTATTTCACATGTGATAAACACGCATTGTATGTGTTTGCAGCAGCTTGTATATCTTTATACATATATTTCTGTGTTTTAGAATTGATTTATTTAGCAGCGCAAAATTTTCTCACTTTTTCACAAGTCCACAGTCTGTGTGTGAGCTCAGGAGTCGGCTGAATGGAGCTCTTCTCCACTCCTCTCTGCTCCTCATCGCTCCTCACTCCCCCCCCCTTCACCCCTCCTCTCCCCCTCCCCCCCCCCCCCCACCCTCCCCCCCCCCCCCACCCCCTCCCTCCCCCCCCCCTCCCCCCTTCTCCCCTCCCTCCCCTCCCCCCCCCCTCCCCCCCCCCTCCCGCCCCCTTTCCCCCCTCCCCGCTCCCTTCCCCCCCCCCTTCCCCCCCCCCCTTCCCACTCCTCCTCACCCTCCTCTCCCCCCCCCCCCTCCCCCCCCCCCCCTCCCCCCCCCCTCTCCCCCCCCCCCCTCTCCCCCCCCCCCCTCCCCCCTCACTGCTTCCTCCCGCTCCTCCCCCCCCCCCTCTCTCCTTCCTCCCCCCCCCCCTTCCCCGCTCCTCTCCCCCTCCTCCCCTCCTCTCCCCCCTCCCCCCTGCTTCTCCGCTCCTCTCCCCTCCCTCTGCTCCTCTCCCCTCCTCACCTTCCCCCCCCCCTCTCCCCTCCTCTCCCTCCTCCTCTCCCCCCCCCCCCCCCCCTCGCTCCTCCCCCCCCCCTCCCCCCCCCTCCCCCCTCCTCCCCTCCCTCCCCTCCCCCTACTCCCCCCTCCTCCCCCCCACCCTCCCCTTCCCTCCCCACCCTCTCTTCCCCCTCCTCACCGCTCTTCTTCCCTCCTCACCCTCCTCTCCCCTCCTCCCCGCTCCTCTCCCCTCCTCCCACCCCCCCCTCCCCTTCCCCCGCTCCCCCCCCCCCCCCCCCCAAAAGCCCCCCCCCCTGCGCTCTGATCTTCCCCAGCACTGATGTAATGTAGTCCCCCTGGACAAAGAACACAGTAGGTCCGCTACGACCCCTCCCTCACTACAACCTTCCTCACTCTGACCCTCTTCACTCTATTCCTCCTCGCTCCGACCTTCTTTGCTCCAACCTCTCCTTACTCCAACCCTCCTCGCTCTGTCCCTCCCCTCTCTGTCCCTCCCCGCTCTGTCCCTCCCCGCTCTGTCCCTCCCCTCTCTGTCCCTCCCCTCTCTGTCCCTCCCCTCTCTGTCCCTCCTCGCTCTGTCCCTCCCCGCTCTGTCCCTCCCCGCTCTGTCCCTCCCCGCTCTGTCCCTCCCCGCTCTGTCCCTCCCCTCTCTGTCCCTCCCCTCCTCTCTGTCCCTCCCCTCTCTGTCCCTCCTCTCGCTTCTCTGTCCCTCCCCGCTCTGTCCCTCCCCGCTCTGTCCCTCCCCCTCTGTCCCTCCCCGCTCTGTCCCTCCTCGCTCTGTCCCTCCCCGCTCTGTCCCTCCCCGCTCTGTCCCTCCCCGCTCTGTCCCCCCCTTCTCTGTCCCTCCCCTCTCTGTCCCTCCCCCTCTCCCTCCCTCCCCCCTCCCTTCTCTGTCCCTCCCCCCGCTCTGTCCCTCCCCTCTCTGTCCCTCCCCCTCTGTCCCTCCCCGCTCTGTCCCTCCCCCTCTGTCCCTCCCCGCTCTGTCCCTCCCCTCTCTGTCCCTCCCCGCTCTGTCCCTCCCCTCTCTGTCCCCCCCCGCTCTGTCCCTCCTCCCGCTCTGTCCCCTCCCCGCTCTCTCCCTCCCCGCTCTGTCCCTCCCCGCTCTGTCCCTCCCCCCTCTGTCCCTCTCTGTCCCCCCTCCCTTCTCTGTCCCTCCCTTCTCTGTCCCTCCCTTCTCTGTCCCTCCCTCCCCTCTCCCTCCCCTCTCTGTCCCTCCCCGTTCTGTCCCTCCCCTTTCTGTCCCTCCCCCCGCTCTCTCCCTCCCTCTCTGTCCCTCCCGTCTCTGTCTCTCTCCCTCCCCTCTTCCCCTCTCCCTCCCCCCCTCTTTTCTGTCCCTCCCCGCTCTGTCCCCTCCCCCCTCTCTGTCCCTCCCCGCTCTGTCCCTCCCCCGCTCTGTCCCTCCCCTCTCTGTCCCTCCCCTCTCTGTCCCTCCCCTCTCTGTCCCTCCTCGCTCTGTCCCCCCGCCCCCGCTCTGTCCCCCCCCGCTCTGTCCCTCCCCTCTCTGTCCCTCCCCTCTCTGTCCCTCCCCGCTCTGTCCCCTCCCCCGCTCTGTCCCTCCCCCCTCTGTCCCTCCCCGCTCTGTCCCTCCCCTCTCTGTCCCTCCCCGCTCTGTCCCTCCCCGCTCTGTCCCTCCCCTCTCTGTCCCTCCCCTCTATGTCCCTCCCCTCTATGTCCCTCCCCGCTCTGTCCCCTCCCCGCTCTGTCCCTCCCCGCTCTGTCCCCTCCCCTCTCTGTCCCTCCCCTCTCTGTCCCTCCCCGCTCTGTCCCTCCCCTCTCTGTCCCTCCTCTCGCTCTGTCCCTCCCTGCTCTGTCCCCTCCCCTCTCTTCCCTCCTCTCTCTGTCCCTCCTCGCTCTGTCCCTCCCCGCTCTGTCCCTCCCTGCTCTGTCCCTCCCCTCTGTCCCTCCTCTCTCTCTCCCTCCTCGCTCTGTCCCTCCCCTCTCTGTCCCTCCCCCGCTCTGTCCCTCCCCGCTCTCTGTCCCTCCCCTCTCTCCTCCCTCCCCTCTCTGTCCCTCCCCGCTCTGTCCCTCCCCTCTCTGTCCCTCCTCGCTCTGTCCCTCCCTGCTCTGTCCCTCCCCTCTCTGTCCCTCCTCTCCCCATCTCTGTCCCTCCCTGCTCTGTCCCTCCCCTCTCTGTCCCTCCTCTCTCTGTCCCTCCTAGCTCTGTCCCTCCTCGCTCTGTCCCTCCTCGCTCTGTCCCTCCTCTCTCTGTCCCTCCTCGCTCTGTCCCCTCCCTGTCCCTCCTCGCTCTGTCCCTCCTCGCTCTGTCCCTCCCTGCTCTGTCCCTCCCCTCTCTGTCCCTCCCCGCTCTGTCCCTCCCCTCTCTGTCCCTCCCCTCTCTGTCCCTCCCCTCTCTGTCCCTCCTCGCTCTGTCCCTCCTTGCTTTGTGACCTGTGTGGCATGCTGATGGGAGGAGAGAGCAGAGCGATGGCGGGATGAGCTCATCACTGTGCTCCTTCTCCTTTCACTGTCCAATCACAAGCTGTGGGCGGGTCCAGGATGTGGTGTCCTGTGTGGCATGCTGATGGGAGGAGAGAGCAGAGTGAGAGGAATGAGCTCCTGCAGCTTCTCCTGCCTGGAGTTCAGCACTGGGGTGTAGAATGGTGACTGTCGGCTGTCATCTACCACAGTGATGTCATCAGATCCGGATCACTAACTGGTGTCTTCTGTAGAACCCGGCTCCTGGATTGGTGCCTTTAAGAGGCCTCTGCGGTACTCCGAAACCGATCTGGAATATCATCTGTGCCCGCTGCCAAAGTACCCGGCCCCCCGTGACACTGCGGGGACCACCCAGAGGAAGTTCCTGAACCGCGAGGTACAAGAGGGGCCACATTGTTAGGGGGACACCTGGACCGGAGTCGGCTCCAAATATCAAAGTTTTCTCTTTCTGTTGTCCATAGGAGATCATTCGGGGGGTGATGAGCTGGAAGAAGTTCCCACCTGTCGCCCCTGTCTGTGTCCCTTCCGACCGCCGGGGGCCACAGACCGCGCTGGTAAGAGTCTGACATCATCACTCCGGATCCCGGGACTCTGCACTCCGTGTATGAAATGTGGGGGAAGGGAAACGTCTGAACCAATCTGATGGTCGAAATTAGAGCCACCATTAGAAATCATGGGGCCCCATACAGCCCACCTCCCAGGGCCCCTCCTCCCCCCACCCCACCCAACGTCTCTTGACCTGCCCCTAATCTAGGCGTGCAAGAGGCACACACCGCTCACAGCATGGGCCAGCAATGACGGGCCCCGGGGCCCGAGCTGTGGGACTCCAGTGATAGTGGCACATCCACTACCCCCCCACCCCCGATTCAGTGTTATCATTGTCCCCCTCTTCTGTACCTGCTCTGCTCCTTTCTCCCCCCCCCCCCGTGTTATCATTGTCCCCCTCTTCTGTACCTGCTCCGCTCCTCTCCCCCCCGTGTTATCATTGTCCCCCTCTTCTGTACCTGCTCCGCTCCTCCCCCCCGTGTTATCATTGTCCCCCCTTCTGTATCTGCTCCGCTCCTTCTCCCCCCCCCGTGTTATCATTGTCCCCCTCTTCTGTACCTGCTCTGCTCCTTCTCCCCCCCCCCGTGTTATCATTGTCCCCCTCTTCTGTACCTGCTCCGCTCCTCCCCCGTGTTATCATTGTCCCCCTCTTCTGTACCTGCTCTGCTCCTTCTCCCCCCCGTGTTATCATTGTCCCCCTCTTCTGTACCTGCTCTGCTCCTTCTCCCCCCCCCGTGTTATCATTGTCCCCCTCTTCTGTACCTGCTCCGCTCCTCCCCCGTGTTATCATTGTCCCCCTCTTCTGTACCTGCTCTGCTCCTTCTCCCCCCCGTGTTATCATTGTCCCCCTCTTCTGTACTGCTCCGCTCCTCCCCCGTGTTATCATTGTCCCTCTCTTCTGTACCTGCTCCGCTCCTCCCCCCGTGTTATCATTGTCCCCCTCTTCTGTATCTGCTCCGCTCCTTCTCCCCCCCGTGTTATCATTGTCCCCCTCTTCTGTACCTGCTCTGCTCCTTCTCCCCCCCCCCCCCCGTTATCATTGTCCCCCTCTTCTGTACCTGCTCCGCTCCTCCCCCCCGTGTTATCATTGTCCCTCTCTTCTGTACCTGCTCTGCTCCTTCTCCCCCCCGTGTTATCATTGTCCCCCTCTTCTGTACCTGCTCTGCTCCTTCTCCCCCCCCCCCCCCCCCGTGTTATCATTGTCCATCTCTTCTGTACCTGCTCCGCTCCTCCCCCGTGTTATCATTGTCCCTCTCTTCTGTACCTGCTCTGCTCCTTCTCCCCCCCGTGTTATCATTGTCCCCCTCTTCTGTACCTGCTCCGCTCCTTCTCCCCCCCCCGTGTTTATCATTGTCCCCCTCTTCTGTACCTGCTCTGCTCCTTCTCCCCCCCGTGTTATCATTGTCCCCTCTTCTGTACCTGCTCCGCTCCTTCTCCCCCCCCCGTGTTATCATTGTCCCCCTCTCTTCTGTACCTGCTCCGCTCCTCCCCCGTGTTATCATTGTCCCCCTCTTCTGTACCTGCTCCGCTCCTTCTCCCCCCCCCGTGTTATCATTGTCCCCCTCTTCTGTACCTGCTCCGCTCCTCCCCCGTGTTATCATTGTCCCCCTCTTCTGTATCTGCTCCGCTCCTTCTCCCCCCCGTGTTATCATTGTCCCCCTCTTCTGTACCTGCTCCGCTCCTCCCCCCGTGTTATCATTGTCCCTCTCTTCTGTACCTGCTCCGCTCCTTCTCCCCCCCCGTGTTATCATTGTCCCCCTCTTCTGTATCTGCTCCGCTCCTTCTCCCCCCCGTGTTATCATTGTCCCCCTCTCTGTACCTGCTCTGCTCCTTCTCCCCCCCGTGTTATCATTGTCCCCCTCTTCTGTACCTGCTCCGCTCCTCCCCCGTGTTATCATTGTCCCCCTCTTCTGTATCTGCTCTGCTCCTTCTCCCCCCCGTGTTATCATTGTCCCCCTCTTCTGTACCTGCTCTGCTCCTTCTCCCCCCCGTGTTATCATTGTCCCCCTCTTCTGTACCTGCTCTGCTCCTTCTCCCCCCGTGTTATCATTGTCCCCCTCTTCTGTACCTGCTCTGCTCCTTCTCCCCCCCCCCCCCCCCCCCCGTGTCATCACTGACAAGGTGATGTGGGTGGGGCACCAGAGATCACCGCCCAGCTTCTCTTAATCCACCAATCAGCTGCTTACATTCTGTTCTCAGGTGTGACCCCTTCAGTGCGGATTTGCTCCCTACAGACGCTCCTCCCACACTCAGCCACTTACCGGAGGAGGACAAGGATGACCTAGAGCCAAGGTGAGTACTCCCTACAGTGACCTCACCCTGCGGACTGTTCATATCATCGTCCATCATACACCGGGCAGTCCGAGTCCGGGAGATCTGGGGGGGGGACATGATCTGCCAGCACTGATCACTCTGGGGGGGGGGGATTGTACTGGGCGGGCGAGAGGACATGATCTGCCAGCACTGATCACTCTGGGGGGGGGGGGGGGGGGGGGGATTGTACTGGGCGGGCACGGAGGAGGACATGATCTGCCAGCACTGATCACTCTGGGGGGGGGGGGGGATTGTACTGGGCGGGCGAGGACATGATCTGCCAGCACTGATCACTCTGGGGGGGGGGGGGGGATTGTACTGGGCGGGCGAGGACATGATCTGCCAGCACTGATCACTCTGGGGGGGGGGGGGGGGGGGGGATTGTACTGGGCGGGCGAGGACATGATCTGCCAGCACTGATCACTCTGACCCCACGGGGACACGGTATATACTCATATGGACCCCACAGGGACACGGTATATACTCACATGGACCCCACGGGGACACGGTATATACTCACATGGACCCCACAGGGACACGGTATATACTCATATAGACCCCACGGGGACACGGTGTATACTCATATAGACCCCAGGGGGACACGGTATATACTCACATGGACCCCACGGGGACACGGTATATACTCACATGGACCCCACGGGGACACGGTATATACTCACATGGACCCCACGGGGACACGGTATATACTCACATGGACCCCACGGGGACACGGTATATACTCACATGGACCCCACGGGGACACGGTATATATACTCACATGGACCCCACGGGGACACGGTATATACTCACATGGACCCCACGGGGACACGGTATATATACTCATATAGACCCCACGGGGACACGGTGTATACTCATATAGACCCCAGGGGGACACGGTATATACTCACATGGACCCCACGGGGACACGGTATATACTCATATAGACCCCACGGGGACACGGTATATACTCACATGGACCCCACGGGGACACGGTATATACTCACATGGACCCCACGGGGACACGGTATATACTCACATGGACCCCACGGGGACACGGTATATACTCACATGGACCCCACGGGGACACGGTATATACTCACATGGACCCCACGGGGACACGGTATATACTCACATGGACCCCACGGGGACACGGTATATACTCACATGGACCCCAGGGGGACACGGTATATACTCACATGGACCCCACGGGGACACGGTATATACTCACATGGACCCCAGGGGGACACGGTATATACTCACATGGACCCCAGGTGGACACGGTATATACTCACATGGACCCCACGGGGACACGGTATATACTCACATGGACCCCACGGGGACACGGTATATACTCACATGGACCCCACGGGGACACGGTATATACTCACATGGACCCCACGGGGACACGGTATATACTCACATGGACCCCACGGGGACACGGTATATACTCATATAGACCCCACGGGGACACGGTATATACTCACATGGACCCCACGGGGACACGGTATATACTCACATGGACCCCACGGGGACACGGTATATACTCACATGGACCCCACGGGGACACGGTATATACTCACATGGACCCCACGGGGACACGGTATATACTCACATGGACCCCACGGGGACACGGTATATACTCACATGGACCCCACGGGGACACGGTATATACTCACATGGACCCCAGGGGGACACGGTATATACTCACATGGACCCCACGGGGACACGGTATATACTCACATGGACCCCAGGGGGACACGGTATATACTCACATGGACCCCAGGGGGACACGGTATATACTCACATGGACCCCACGGGGACACGGTATATACTCACATGGACCCCACGGGGACACGGTATATACTCACATGGACCCCACGGGGACACGGTATATATACTCACATGGACCCCACGGGGACACGGTATATACTCACATGGACCCCAGGGGGACACGGTATATACTCACATGGACCCCACGGGGACACGGTATATACTCACATGGACCCCACACGGGGACACGGTATATACTCACATGGACCCCACGGGGACACGGTATATATACTCACATGGACCCCACGGGGACACGGTGTATACTCCTATGGACCCCACGGGGACACGGTGTATACTCATAATGGACCCCACGGGGACACGGTATATATACTCATATGGACCCCACAGGGACACGGTATACACTCATATGGACCCCACGGGGACACGGTATATACTCATATGGACCCCACAGGGACACGGTATATACTCATATGGACTCCACGGGGACACGGTGTATACTCATATGGACCCCACGGGGACACGGTATATACTCATATGGACCCCACAGGGACACGGTATACACTCATATGGACTCCACGGGGACACGGTATATACTCATATGGACCCCACAGGGACACGGTATATACTCATATGGACTCCACGGGGACACGGTGTATACTCATATGGACCCCACGGGGACACGGTGTATACTCATATGGACCCCACGGGGACACGGTGTATACTCATATGGACCCCACGGGGACACGGTATATACTCATATGGACTCCACGGGGACACGGTATATACTCATATGGACCCCACAGGGACACGGTATATACTCATATGGACCCCACGGGGACACGGTATATACTCACATGGACCCCACGGGGACACGGTATATATACTCACATGGACCCCACGGGGACACGGTATATACTCATATGGACCCCATGGGGACATGGTATATACTCATATGGACCCCACAGGGACACGGTGTATACTCATATGGACCCCCACGGGGACACGGTATATACTCATATGGACCCCACGGGGGGGACACGGTATATACTCATATGGACCCCACAGGGACACGGTGTATACTCATATGGACCCCACAGGGACACGGTATATACTCATATGGACTCCACGGGGACACGGTATATACTCATATGGACCCCACGGGGACACGGTGTATACTCATATGGACCCCACGGGGACACGGTATATACTCATATGGACCCCACAGGGACACGGTATATACTCATATGGACCCCACGGGGACACGGTATATACTCATATGGACCCCACGGGGACACGGTATATACTCACATGGACCCCACAGGGACACGGTATATACTCACATGGACCCCACAAGGACACGGTATATCATTGTATTACATTATTAGATTCTCCTCCATTGAGGGACACAGGAATTCTGATTCTGTTGGGTTATACTGCCTCCTACAGGAAGATTGGACTCCGGCAAACAAGGAAATGTGAGCCAGCCCAGGATAACCCCGCCTACTCCCAGCAAGCCTCAAGTTTCCGGTTCTTTCCTTGAACCATAATTACAGAATGTACATCGGGAATAGAAAAGAATCGGCCGCCTCCTCTGAAATATATTCCCATTTTGTTGCTTTGCAGCCTAAAATGAAGACAGACACCCGTTTTTGTTTTATCCAGCTCTATGCAACTTATAACATCCAAGTGAGAGACAAAACACCATCAGAAAATTCAAAAACAGAATCCCTGAATCCCCCCCACCCCCCCGGGGTCCCCCTTTTGCTGTAATTCCAGCCTTCAGTCTGTCGGGATTTCGCACCTCCAGACTCTGCGATATTCGCCCGCTCTTCTTTACAGAACGGCTCAGGTTCAGTGCCATTGGTGGTGCCGGTTTGTGGGCGGCGGCTTCAATCATTCCACAGATTTTCAGTGGGGTTGAAGTCGGGGCTCTGACAAGGCCAAGCCAGGCCACGCCCCTTCTTCTCCTCCAACCACGGGGGGCTCCTTGTTGCTGTGTGCTTTGCTGATTGGTGCGTTGGTCTATAATAGACAACCACAAGCTGACTTTCCTCTCGTAGATCTACTCTTCAGATGAAGACCACGGTGGGCACTCCTCTACGCAGACCACGAGAACAGGAGATCGGTAACGGAGTGCACTGCTCATGTCAGAGGATCCAAAACGTCAAATCCCAGATATTTGGGGTAGAAACGTCGGCAGAACATCTTCACTACAGATTCCTCATAAACATCTCGGTGTCAGACCACCAGGACCATTCATCGTTGGCCATGGAATGGTGGTGGGTCCTTTTCTTCCCTTCGGGGGAATTTGTTCCTCCTGTTTTTGGTGGGAATGGTGGTGGGTCCTTTTCTTCCCTTCGGGTGAATTTGTTCCTCCTGTTTCTGGTGGGTTCTGGTCGATCGGCTGTACTCGTCAGGTTTAATGGGTTCCTCCAGTATAGAGTCCTCCCCCCACTGGCGGTGATCATTCTCCTCCTGGCCACCAGCATCAGGCTGATTCTCTGGTCCCTTCTTTGGTCGGTGACTCTTCCCCCTTCAAGTCCAGGGGCTTGGCATCATCGGGTGTCAGATTCCTGCATGGGCCCTTCAGGTGGCTCCTGGGCTGCAGGCCGTTCCCCAGATTTCTTTCATTGGTCCAGCGGGAGGTTGTTCAGTTGCCCACTGGATGTCCCAACAGTATCTGCATTCCTGTGCCCATCAATGGAGGAGGAAGAAAATGGGATTGGAGTCCAATGAAGGACACGGCCCATTCCACCATGGTGTTGTTCTTGCTGTTGGTACCACTTTACCAAAAAACTGAGGCATGCTGGGAATAGGAGGGGCTATCCCAAGCCGGCCCACTTGTTTTTGTTTGCCAGCATCTTTTCCTTCTGTAGATGGCAGTATAACCCGACAGAATCTGAAATCCTGAGCCCCTCAATGGACTCCAGGAAAAGGACTCTGTAGACTCTTCTTGGCTCCATGCACATTCACCGGCCTTTGTGTATCTTCAGGGAAGCGGATGAGGCCCACTGCCGAGTGCTGCTGACACCACAAATGCTGAGAGCGGAATTTCCATTGATACAAGATGGCGGTCGGGGTGACACGTGAGTATTGGGGGGTATCGGGGTGTCTGGTCCCCAGTGTAAGAGGACCGGTCATTATCAGTGAGGAGGGATGAGTAACCCAAATGCAGCAGTTGGGATCGGCGGTGATCAGAGGTGGCCTTGTATTCCCACTGTGCTCGATTGACCGATGAATCCTGCAGTGTCATGTCCCATAGATGTCCCAATCCTGACGATATCCACACCTTCCATATGACCGGTCCTCTGTGACTGGTGACCGGTCCTCTGTCCTCTGTGACTGGTGACCGGTCCTCTGTCCTCTGTGACTGGTGACCGGTCCTCTGTCCTCTGTGACTGGTGACCGGTCCTCTCCTCTGTCCTCTGTGACTGGTGACCGGTCCTCTGTCCTCTGTTACTGGTGACCGGTCCTCTGTCCTCTGTTACTGGTGACCGGTCCTCTGTGACCGGTCCTCTGTCCTCTGTGACTGGTGACCGGTCCTCTGTCCTCTGTGACTGGTGACCGGTCCTCTGTTACTGGTGACCGGTCCTCTGTCCTCTGTTACTGGTGACCTGTTCTGGTGACTCTGTCCTCTGTTACTGGTGACCGGTCCTCTGTTACTGGTGACCGGTCCTCTGTCTTGTTACTGGTGACCGGTCCTCTGTCCTCTGTTACTGGTGACCGGTCCTCTGTCCTCTGTGACTGGTGACCGGTCCTCTGTCCTCTGTGACTGGTGACCGGTCCTCTGTCCTCTGTCCTCTGTGACCTGGTGACCGGTCCTCTGTGTACTGGTGACCGGTCCTCTGTTACTGGTGACCGGTCCTCTGTTACTGGTGACCGGTCCTCTCTCCTCTGTTACTGGTGACCGGTCCTCTGTCCTCTGTTACTGGTGACCGGTCCTCTGTCCTCTCTGTCCTCTCTGTTACTGGTGACCGGTCCTCTGTCCTCTGTGACTGGTGACCGTCCTCTGTCCTCTGTGACTGGTTCCTCTGTGACTGGTGACCGGTCCTCTGTCCTCTGTTACTGGTGACCGGTCCTCTGTCCTCTGTTACTGGTGACCGGTCCTCTGTCCTCTGTGACTGGTGACCGGTCCTCTGTCCTCTGTCCCTCCTCTGTCCTCTGTGACTGGTGACCTGTCCTCTGTCCTCTGTGACTGGTGACCGGTCCTCTGTCCTCTGTGACTGGTGACCGGTCCTCTGTCCTCTGTTACTGGTGACCGGTCCTCTGTCCTCTGTGACTGGTGACCGGTCCTCTGTCCTCTGTGACTGGTGACCGGTCCTCTGTCCTCTGTGACTGGTGACCGTCCTGTCCTCTGTTACTGGTGACCGGTCCTCTGTCTGTTACTGGTGACCGGTCCTCTGTCCTCTGTGACTGGTGACCGGTCCTCTGTCCTCTGTGACTGGTGACCGGTCCTCTGTCCTCTGTTACTGGTGACCGGTCCTCTGTCCTCTGTCCTCTGTGACTGGTGACCGGTCCTCTGTCCTCTGTGACTGGTGACCGGTCCTCTGTCCTCTGTTACTGGTGACCGGTCCTCTGTCCTCTGTCCTCTGTCCTCTGTGACTGGTCCCGTCCTCTGTCCTCTGTGACTGGTGACCGGTCCTCTGTCCTCTGTCCTCTGTGACTGGTGACCGGTGTCCTCTGTCCTCTGTCCTCTGTGACTGGTGACCGGTCCTCTGTCCTCTGTGACTGGTGACCGGTCCTCTGTCCTCTGTGACTGGTGACCGGTCCTCTGTCCTCTGTCCTCTGTTTACTGGTGACCGGTCCTCTGTCTCTGTCCTCTGTGACTGGTGACCGGTCCTCTGTCCTCTGTCCTGTGACTGGTGACCGGTCCTCTGTCCTCTGTCCTCTGTGACTGTGACCGGTCCTCTGTCCTCTGTCCTTCTTACTGGTGACCGGTCCTCTGTCCTCTGTGACTGGTGACCGGTCCTCTGTCCTCTGCTTCTTACTGGTGACCGTCCTCTGTCCTCTGTGTGTGGACCGTCCCTCTGTCCTCTGTCTCTGGTGACCGGTCCTCTGTCCTCTGTTACTGGTGACCGGTCCTCTGTCCTCTGTCTCTGTCTCTGTTACTGGTGACCGGTCCTCTGTCCTCTGTGACTGGTGACCGGTCCTCTGTCCTCTGTCCCGGTCCTCTGTCCTCTGTGTGACTGGTGTCCTCTGTGACTGGTGACCGGTCCTCTGTCCTCTGTTACTGGTGACCGGTCCCTCTGTCCTCTCTGACTGGTGACCCTCTGTCCTCTGTCCTCTGTGACTGGTGACCGGTCTCTGTCCTCTGTGTTACTGGTGACCGGTCCTCTGTCCTCTGTTACTGGTGACCGGTCCTCTGTCCTCTGTGACTGGTGGTGACCTCTGTCCTCTGTCCTCTGTCCTCTGTGACTGGTGACCGGTCCTCTGTCCTCTGTGACTGGTGACCGGTCCCTCTGTCCTCTGTCCTCTGTGGTGGTGACCGGTCTCTGTCCTGTCCTCTGTGACTGGTGACCGGTGACCGGTCCTCTGTCCTCTGTGACTGGTGACCGGTCCTCTGTCCTCTGTCTGTGACTGGTGACCGGTCCTCTGTCCTCTGTCCTGGTGACTGGTCCTCTGTCCTCTGTGTTACTGGTGACCGGTCCTCTGTTACTGGTGACCGTCCTCTGTCCTCTGTGACTGGTGACCGGTCCTCTGTCCTCTGTCCTGTCCTGTGTTACTGGTGACCGGTCCTCTGTCCTCTGTGACTGGTGACCGGTGGACCTGGTCCTCTGTCCTCTGTGACTGGTGACCGGTCCTCTGTCCTCTGTCCTCTGTGACTGGTGACCGGTCCTCTGTCCTCTGTCTTCTTACTGGTGACCGGTCCTCTGTCCTCTGTTACTGGTGACCGGTCCTCTGTCCTCTGTCTTGTGACTGGTGACCGGTCCTCTGTCCTCTGTGACTGGTGACCGGTCCTCTGTCCTCTGTTCTGGTGACTGGTCCTCTGTCCTCTGTCCTGGTGACCGGTCCTCTGTCCTCTGTCCTCTGTGGTGACCGGTCCTCTGTCCTCTGTCCTCTGTTACTGGTGACCGGTCCTCTGTCCTCTGTGACTGGTGACCGGTCCTCTGACTCTGTCCTCTGTCCTCTGTTACTGGTGACCGGTCCTCTGTCCTCTCCTCTGTGACTGGTGACCGGTCCTCTGTCCTCTGTTACTGGTGACCGGTCCGGTCCTCTGTCCTCTGTGTACTGGTGACCGGTCCTCTGTCCTCTGTTCTGTGTGACCGGTGACCGGTCCTCTGTCCTCTGTCCTCTGTGACTGGTGACCGGTCCTCTGTCCTCTGTCTCTGTGACTGGTGACCGGTCCTCTGTCCTCTGTGACTGGTGACCGGTGACCGGTCCTCTGTCCTCTCTGTGACTGGTGACCGGTCCTCTGTCCTCTGTGACTGGTGACCGGTCCTCTGTCCTCTGTCCTCTGTGACCGGTGACCTCTGTCCTCTGTCCTCTGTGACTGGTGACCGGTCCTCTGTCCTGTCCTCTGTCCTCTGTGACTGGTGACCGGTCCTCTGTCCTCTGTCCTCTGTGACTGGTGACCGGTCCTCTGTCCTCTGTCCTCTGTGACTGGTGACCGGTCCTCTGTCCTCTGTCCTCTGTGACTGGTGACCGGTCCTCTGTCCTCTGTCCTCTGTGACTGGTGACCGGTCCTCTGTCCTCTTCTTGTTACTGGTGACCGGTCCTCTGTCCTCTGTCCTCTGTGACTGGTGACCGGTCCTCTGTCCTCTGTCCTCTGTGACTGGTGACCGGTCCTCTGTCCTCTGTCCTCTGTGACTGGTGACCGGTCCTCCTCTGTCCTCTGTGACTGGTGACCGGTCCTCTGTCCTCTGTCCTCTGTGTGGTGACCGGTCCTCTGTCCTCTGTCCTCTGTGACTGGTGACCGGTCCTCCTCTCTGTCCTCTGTGACTGGTGACCGGTCCTCTGTCCTCTGTGACTGGTGACCGGTCCTCTGTCCTCTGTCCTGTCCTCTGTGACTGGTGACCGGTGACTCTGTCCCTCTGTTACTGGTGACCGGTCCTCTGTCCTCTGTTACTGGTGACCGGTCCTCTGTCCTCTGTTCTTACTGGTGACCGTCCTCTGTCCTCTGACTGGTCCTCTGTCCTCTGTCTTACTGGTGACCGGTCCTCTGTCCTCTGTTACTGGTGACCGGACCTCTGTCCTCCTGTGACTGTGACCGTCCTCTGTCCTCTGTGACTGGTGACCGGTCCTCTGTCCTCTGTTGTTACTGGTGACCGGTCCTCTGTCCTCTGTTACTGGTGACTGGTGACCGGTCGGTCTGTCCTCTGTTACTGGTGACCGGTCCTCTGTCCTCTGTTACTGGTGACCGGTCCTCTCTGTCCTCTGTGACTGGTGACCGGTCCTCTGTCCTCTGTCCTCTGTACTGGTGACCGGTCCTCTGTCCTCTGTGACTGGTGACCTCTGTCCTCTGTCCTCTGTTACTGGTGACCGGTCCTCTGTCCTCTGTTACTGGTGACCGGTCCTCTGTCCTCTGTTACTGGTGACCGGTCCTCTGTCCTCTGTTACTGGTGACCGGTCCTCTGTCCTCTGTGACTGGTGACCGGTCCTCTGTCCTCTGTGACTGGTGACCGGTCCTCTGTCCTCTGTGACTGGTGACCGGTCCTCTGTCCTCTGTCCTCTTACTGGTGACCGGTCCTCTGTCCTCTGTGACTGGTGACCGGTCCTCTGTCCTCTGTCCTCTGTTACTGGTGACCGTCCTCTGTGACTGTGACCCTCTGTTACTGGTGACCGGTCCTCTGTCCTCTGTTACTGGTGACCGGTCCTCTGTCCTCTGTCTCTGTGACTGGTGACCGGTCCTCTGTCCTCTGTCCTCTGTGACTGGTGACCGGTCCTCTGTCCTCTGTCCTCTGTGACCGGTCCCTCTGTCCTCTGTCCTCTGTGACTGGTGACCGGTCCTCTGTCCTCTGTCCTCTGTGACCGGTCCTCTGGTCCTCTGTCCTCTGTGACTGGTGACCGGTCCTCTGTCCTCTGTCCTCTGTGACTGGTGACCGGTCCTCTGTCCTCTGTGACTGGTGACCGGTCCTCTGTCCTCTGTC